CTTCACTCTCTCCATTCACCAGGCAGGAGGCCTATTTTCCTGCACCCCTGTGTCGTCCTGCCCTACTTCCTGCTTCCCTTTTTGAAGTCATGGTGAAGTTTGTGTACCAAGGTGACTGTTGTGCGTCAGCCGGCGGGCATTAGCAAGCATCCCTCGTAGCGAGCAGCCACAAAAAGACGTTTCTGTCAACCTGAGGTGTCCCCTCCTCTCCCCTTGCCTTATGCTCAGTCTTCTGTTCTCTCTGTCCCCCTTAGTCTTCCTTCCTCTCTGCTCCCGTGGTTTAAAATATCTCAGCTCAGGCCCCTTTCACACAGGCAGTCTGTTCCTGAAATGTTCAGGAGCATTTAGGAGCAGTCAGTAATATTTAGGGAAATCTGTACCGCCAGTGTAAGACCTCGGAACATTTCGGAGAAGACGCTGGTACGGCCGGGTTGTGAAAGAAACCGTAACATTGGATCATCATTCGACAGCTTGTATGATCTCTAACCAATCTGGTTAACTGTAGGAAAAGAATCATGGTTGACCGATGTCACGTTACGTACTGAACGAAACGTGGCATAGGTTAGCTTTAGGAAAACAAACAGTTGGCTGCTGTCAGGTCATGTACTGTAACGTAACGTAGTGTAGGTTAGGTTTAGGAAATGAGAAAGGTTTGTGAGTTGTCATGTTACATACTTAACATAAAGTTACGTACTAGAGTTATGTACTCAACGTAACATTACATTACGTAGGTTAGGTTTAGGAAAACAAACATGGTTAGGAGTTGTCATGTTATATATTTAACATAAAGTTACGTAGGTCAGGTTTAGGAAAACAAACATGGTTAGGAGTCATCACGTTATGTTCCTAACATAAGGTTATGTAATTACGTTACGTTAGTTAGATAGGTTTAGGAAAACCATCATGGTAGGCTGTAGTCATGTTACGTACTTGTTGTGCAGTTACATACTGAATTTAACATCACGTAGGTTAGGTTTAGGAAAAGAAACGGGGTTGGGAAGTGTCACTTTACATAGTTATTGTAAAGTTCCGTTGGTAAGATTTGGGAAAGAAACATGATTGAGAGTCGTCACGTTACGTACGTGACATAAAGTTACATACTTAATATTAAGTTACATTGGTTAGGTTTAGGAAAAGAAACATGCTAAGTAGCCATCATGTTACATAATTGATGTAAAGTTATGTACTCAATGTAACGTTACGTTATGTAGGATAGGTTTAGGAAAAAACAAACATGGCTGGCTGCAATCGTGTTACGTACTTATTGTAAAGTTACGTACTGAATTTAACGTTACGTAGGTTTGGGTTAGGGAAAGAAACATTGTTGGGTGTCATCAGGTTACGTACTTAACGTGATGATGCTTTTTAAAATAACTCGAAGTTGACTATTACTACTTATTACATTTACTTCTTTACCTCTGTCAGCAGGTTGGTCACATGATCACGGGCCTCCATGATAACATGCGCTTTATGGAAATCACTGGAACATTAGCATTACTTTTCATGGTTAAATGTACGAACAGACCACGAAAACAGCCTGAACACTGCTGGGACGAGTACAGAAAGGGTAATGTCCACCTGATGAAAGACGCTTTCACCTGGAGCGAGCAAACCAATCACAAGACGCCACTGATGACGTTTTTCATGACTTGTTTACGGTTTAGCCTTCACTCCCAGGCTTTCACGGGTGAATGAAAACATTACAAGACAAAACAGCTCGTCTCCCACCATCTTCCTGAAAATAACAAGCAACATCTTCCACTGCGTACATCCGGCCTCGCCCCATCTTCTTCTTCGTCTTCTGTTGAGTTTCGTGACGGTTAGCATCCATCATGTTTCAGTACCGCTGTCTGCTGGACCGTCCCTGCACCATCTGTTCCAGCATTTCCATCGCATGTGTGAAAAGGTGTGAGACGGGAATGTAGAGCATGTGTGAGAAGTGAATCAGTAGTGGTGCCTGAAATGTTGTCCCAGTAATTTACTGGGACCTGTGCGTGAAAGAGGCTTCAGAAACACTTTGCTGCCTTTTAACTGAACGACTGAAACGACGGCCTGTTTCCACTGCTGCTTTTGAGCAGGTCTTCATTACTCAAAGGCTGCTTGTTAGCCGTTGCAGTGTTTCGAATTGTCATCCGTCTCCCACTCGTTCCCTTTACCTCCTCTCTGCCTCCAGCCTTCGCCGCATGTCTGACAAGTCTGCCATTTCAAATTGAGAGCGGAGAGTCAAAGAGAGAGGACGGCCGCTGGTTAAATTGCTGGGTTTTGTTGGAGATCCAGCAGAAGTGAAAGGGCAGCGCGGACTGAGGGGGAGGGTGAGTCACTGCAGACAGAGATGTAAAACTCATTATATATTTCATGGTGACTTTTCCTTCCCTTGTTAATGAAGGCTCAGACCTCGTTGTGTGTCCTGCTGTGGACACTCTGACTGTGAGCTGATCAATACTCAGTCATCTCAGATTTAAATTCATCTGCTGCTCTGAATATGTGTGTTTGTGTGTAAATCAGTCGTGCTCTTGCTCCTCTGATAACTCAGAACTGGATCATACAAGTCACCGAAACCTTCTGATCACATGATCTGTCTGAGGTTGAGTCAGTCCAAACTGTCACATGGAGCTTCATAATGTTGGATACAGTGAGGCCTGGCAGGATAATTATCAACTGATCGTACGATGTGTGGACCTGACCTTGATATTGTTTGTTGTGTTTATGTGTGTTTTGCATAAGAGTGACGGCAACATTTCAGATGACATCATGCCAGACTCAGAGGTCTGGACTGTAGTCACATGACTTGGACTTGAATCAGACTTGAGTCACAAATTTGCTTTGGATTTGACAAAATCAAAAATCAAACCTTTTTCCTGTTGACATATTACGTCACAGACCAAACAATGGACAAACAAGTTAGCTACGGTTAGCTAGCAGCTAACTGGTACCATGGTGGACAACTTTACAGCTCTGTACATTTGGTGCGTCCAAAAAGTCACGGCTCTGTATGTAGATTTCTCCATGTTGTTACCGGCTTCTTCTTCTCTTACACATTTAATGCTATTGGACTTCCGGGTCAAAGCCCGGGGCGGAAACTGTGGAGCATGCTCAGAGCGCCTCGGCCAGTTTGGGTCTGATTGACTGTATACATGCAGGAGTCACATGATCTGGGTGTGTTAGGCCTAATCCCAATACCCCCCCTTGTCCACTACCCATTGGCCCTCGAAATGAAGCAACGAGGGGTAGGGGTTGAAATCTTTCCCTAGAAATCGGGACACCACTCACTACGTCACCGCGTTGGTTATATTCACTCATACTTAACTATATTAAACAGGAAGCCACGAGCCAACTACATTTCCAACCGGCATCTACAACGTAACGGTAAAGTTAGCGACTATTATGCTTTACACTAACGTACCATTACAATAATAAGATATGTCTGACAGGGGACTTCTGCTAGCTAGCTAGCTAACCAGCTAACATTACAAGGCAGCATAGCTGGCGTGTTATCGTAATGTGAAAAATCCAACAATTTTGCAGAACAGGACAGATGACAGACGGCTAGCTAGCTAACAAGCAACCTGACGACGGTAACGTTAGCTAGCTGGCTATCTTACTGTCAACTCCAATCTAGACATCGTGAATAGCAATAAAAACTTTTTTCCCCGTCTCTTGCTCGGTGGTAGCCATGGCGACATCTACCCCTTGCTGGCAAGTCAGCATCTGAAATCCCTTGCTCCAAAGGGCTAGTTTCATACCCACTACCCCTCGTTATGACCCCTACCCCTACACGCAAAAAGGAATTGGGACACCACTACCCCTCACGGGATCGCACAAATCTAGGGGTAGGGCTAAGGGGTAGGGCTAAGGGGGGGTATTGGGACGGGCCCTTAGTCCCACTTTGAGAAATTCACTTTAGTACGATTTCAGTCAATGTTTGCTTGTATCTTAAAAGTCCGGTTTTAGTCAAACTGACACACTAAATCCATTTTCTCCGATGTTCTGCTGCTCCGTCTGTACCCAGAATCGCTCTGCGCTGTGTGAGTGTGGAGCAAATAATTGAACAGTGTATTCACTCCAAAAACGCTCTGAAAATAGAAAATCAAAAGGTGGCGGCAGATGTTTTAATCATGGCAGGCCGCCACAAATCAGTGAATGTGTGGGAAACCCTGAGACACTAAAGAGAACATCGTTATTGCATTAAACTCCATATCTGTCAGTATCTCCCCTTCATAGGCTGCTCCTGTAAAGACATAACAACAGCTGTTAATGACCTTGAAAGAATTAAAAGTTCATTCCTCTTTGAAGGGGTACTGTTATATTATCATTATATCTGCGGCACAAAACGATCTCTCAATGACGATAATATCTCTTGCAGAATTTATCGTCCATTAAAACTACGACAGGCCTGGTTACAACACCTCCCTGTAGCCGTGTCAGCCGTGCAGATGGTCTTGTCTGTCAGATTTCACAGCAGCACAGAGAAGTGAGAAAACAGATTGTATTTATAATTTTGGGTGGAGTGACCCTTTAGAAAAAAGTAATTAGCAGGAGCAGTGTGCAGAGTTCACAGAGTGTTGGAGAGACGGAGACGGTCCAGGTCTGCTGCTGAGCTGACGGGAGGCTGCAGCCAAAACCAGGCTTTATTTTAATGGAGACAGCAGGGGAGGTGACAGGAAACAGCCCCCCCCACCCTCCATCCACACACACACACACACACACACACACACACACACACACACACACACAACACAACATATACACACCCACCCCCCCAGTGACTTGTTCTCTTCCTGGTTTTTCTCCTGTATTTCGTCCCTCCAGTCGTGGCCGTGAGCTGAAATGAATCCTCTTCCTCCTGGTTGGCTCCGCTGACTCTGCTGTGTGTCCCACTCTGTGTGTGTGTGTTCATGCCCCAGTAAAGAGTGGAGCTCCACTTGTCGTTGGAGCTCATATCAGTGTTTGTATCTTTGCTGCTTCTTGACTAACCAAACGTGCTGTTTGTGTCTCTGCAGTCCATCATGGAGCAGTTCAACCCCTGCCTGCGCAACTTCATCGCCATGGGGAAAAGCTACGAGAAGGCGCTCACCAGTGAGTACACCAACCATTTCTGCTTTCCTCTCCATCTTCGTCTCATTCCTCCTGTCTGTCCAGCCGTCCAGGCCGAGGGCTGGCCGACCCGATGCTTGGCGCTGCTTTTATATCCTCTTAATTTTTCTGGAGTAGAGACGTGATGATGACACAGATATTCAGCAGCTTCTTGTGTTTGCATCACAAACCTGATGTCTCTGAAGAAGTTGCTCTGTCCCTGCAGAGAATATCTGGTGTCCAAAATAATGTCAAAGACTTGCTTCCGAGACGACACTCTGTCCTCTGATTGTCCCTCTGTGATGATGTCCATGTCCACACCTCCCTCTGACACAGTTCATTGATCTTAATTGTCCGCCTCTCCGTCCGTCCTTTTCCATCGCTTTTTGTGGCTTGCACAGGTTGTGTGTGTGTGTGTGTGTGTGTGTGTGTGTGTGAGCAACAGAAAGATGGAGGTGTTCATGCAGCAGTGGCTCAAGGTTAAAGACAAAAGCACCGGGAACGTCTTGGGGGAGCTAAGTGGAACATAAACCAATGGGAAGTGGAACAGGAGGAGTCGCGAGAATAACGGCGCCCCCCCACGGGGCCGAAGAAACGAGAACGAGCCGGTATCCAGGACAAGACCATGTCCAAAAAAATAAAAAGGTTGAGAGAGAAATATTCAGAAACTGAAAAATGGGACATAAATAAACCTTCATCAGCAAATGTCCTGCAGCTTATTAGTGTCTGATGGACTCTGATTAGTCGCCATTGATTAGGATACTTCACGCTTCGTCCAATCAGATTAGACCTGCCTCCATTTGTTGATAAGAAAAGCTCTTTTCAGCTGCGCTCCATCACGTCTCTCTGCAGGGAGTGGTTATCGGGGTCGTATCATATTTTCAGAGGTGGTGTGGTCTGCACGGCGTGCAGCAGGGCTCTCCTTCATGTGCAGGGAAGACTCAGCAGGTTCAATAAAAGGAGGCCTCGCTCCAGTCTGATAGATAAGGCTAAAAATAGCGCTGCGACTCCCTGAGTGGGGATTACACTTCATCAATGCCAGGCAGCGGCACACAGGCAGAGTGTAGAGCAGGCCGGGCACCCAGCGAGTGTCTCCTGTCACTGGAGAGACGCCAGTGCAGCCTCTGGTTTTTCTGTAGAACTGGGGCGGCAGGTCTGCGTCTCAGGGGACGCTGACTTCCTGTTTGTTTGAGTCTGAGAGGATTTGGGCTGGATTGGACTGGATGTGGGGAGTGTGGTTTGGGATGTGGTGCTCAGCCCGGGTTCAGTCTTTATTAAAGTCTGTATCACAGGTTAGTGCTGTCGGAGACGGGAGCTGAGAGAACGTCTCACCTGGGAGATGTCACCTGTGTGAGAGCACAGAGAGCACTGATTGGTGGCTTGAAGGTCATCAGACGTCTAGTCCAGGTTAAAACTGTTACTTATCTGTTACATACAACTGTTGTTTCTACTGAGGCTGTTTTCCTATGACAAGTTAAACGCACAGATTCGTACAAAGGCTTCGATCACGTGACCAGTGTGCTGACACAAGTAAACAAGTCCTGAGTGGTCTCATAAGGAGGCAGGTGGGGTTGATGGGCGGGTCACAAAAACCCGAACTTTCCCCCGGAGACTTGTGTTCAGCACCGTGTGAGTTATTTTCAGGTGTGTGTTTTAACACACCCGGGTTCCACTTAGGAGGTGTCTCAGTTTTGACTCGTGTTCCAGTTCCTTTCTGTGAAGATCCAGAGTCCTCACGATGCAGGGAAAAAGATGAACGACGTTTATTTAAGAATTCGCACCAAAATGACATCATTGGTCCCCTACTGACTTGATTTTCTGTTTCTATATTTCATCACAGTGTTACACATGACTACACACTAAACAAAACAGTTCAGACGTAGGCAGACTTCCTGTTGTCTTCAAGCACGGTGTAAACATCTCCTTTAGTCATGTGCACCAAAAAAACAAAAAACTCTATTCTGACACAGAGAGAACGTACACATAAACGTGACCTCGTTTATGAAACTGTTGTGTAAATAATATCAGAACTTTTATGATACGTCATTTTTACCAACCATCTTTTTTTTTTTTTTGTTACGTTACGCATCACGTAACTGTGCGTTAAGGACCTAACGTCATTCGTGGGGCGCTAATTCATGGAATATCATAACAATAATTTATTAGATATCAATCAGAGGGAGACTTAATGATTCAGTTTGTTATCAGATAATCTGCCAGCTGCGTCTTTAGCGCGTCGATTGACCCATTTGTTCATATTTTCCTGAGCTGGTCACCGAGGTCGTTAGACATTACTATTTGGTTGAATTTAGATTGTGATGGAAAGTCAAAGTCAAGACTTCGGATGCCAACGACAGTTTGAAGCAGAATACTGACGACTGTTTTAATTTGCGTTGTAACCAAAATCTAGCGTCTTCCAAAGGTCATCTTGACAGAGACATTTAGTCAGGGTAGGACTGGGAGCAACATTCGGCGATGTTTAGTAATGATGAGATTTCAGCGCTCTGCAGTGATAATTTTGTTAGCGCAAACTACGATGAAAAACATTCATCAGTGACCTTTTTCTTGATGATGAAGATGAGACGTTGATGAGCTAAAAATAGATCTTGGATAATAATAACTATGATGAAATGTAGGTTTCATTTTGCTGACGGGACGAGACGTGACGAAAATGTTGGCGGTGGACTGTCAGATATTCAAAATCAGACGAGAGGAGAAGAGAGTGATAAAATATTTCATGAAACACTGAAAATGTTTCAGCCGAGAACGGCCACACTTGCAATTTTTTTGTGGTGTGAGATCAGAGCGCTGTGGGCCGACCTGTGATGATGGGTCAGGGTTCATACGTACAGTGTCATATCAGCGTTTCTAAAGTGACGTAGTATCTGAGCTAACTGTCATCAGGGGTGGAGGGGATGGTGGATGGCGTGACACCTCGAGGAGACGCCTGCCAAGCTGCAGACCTCTGTTCAACACCAACAAACAACTAAACCAGTTGTTTTCACTGAGACATCGCTGTGTTTCTGGCGTCATTTCAGCTGACAAATGTGTGTTGTTTAGCGACATGTTGCTGTTTTTCCAGCAGCCATTTTGCCCCCTAAACAGGTTTTTTTAAAACCCCAACATGATCTGAACCATAACCAAGTGGTTTTTGTGCCTGAACACATTGTGCCTGTTCACATGGCAGATGAAATTGAATATTCCACCAATATTCCTGTTTAAATGCAGTCCTGCGTATTCTGATACTGTTCCCTCACACGCCGGTTATTGCGTCAAAATATGGAAAAGTAGAGCAGCTGGAGCCGCTTGTCATTCTACGTCTTTGGATCAAAATAGGATTTTCTCACAGTTTCCTCTGACACGTCGGACCGTACGAGCTTTAAATGGTTTGTTTGTGAAAACAGAAACTATTGACGCACAGCATCAGACTTTTTGCTGATATACATTCTCGGAACCCATCGGCGATACAGCCTCTGGGGGCAGACCCCCGATTTTTTTAGCATTCCGGTTTGATTTGGGCGGAGGAGGCGAATTTCCGTTTCCGACTAACGTTTATATATAAGTAAATATGCTGAACCATTGCGATGGATTCACAATTTGCAGTGACGCCAATTATGTTCCGCCTCGTTAGTTCACCGCACGGACCGTTTAACCTGGCAATAAAAACGTGATTGGTCAATATCACGTCGACTACAAACAGCCTACAACTGGAAACCAGGGCTCTTCCGCTCTTCTTCCAGAGGCAAGATCTCCGGGGTTTGCCTACAGACTCTACATTCACTGAATGTGGAGTCTGTAAATAGAGACTAGCTGATATGTAACAACTTATTTGGATGATAACTTAAACCGATACCGATATATCCGCTTTTTCCCACCTAATTTCAGTGATCATCAAGTCTCTTCTGTAGTGGAATTAAAGGAAATGGCCACTTTAGAATGAAAATACAGACAGTACTTACTGACCCTCATGCTGACAAGAAGTCCAGTGAAGTTTTTTAATCCACAAAACTCATTTGGGGTATCGGAGGATAACAGCTAGCCGCCTGCAGGCGTGCTGTGTTTACTGTGTTGTCTTGTTCTCGAGTCTCACGAGTTGCAGGCTAACTGACCACGGTGAGAAATGATGCTATAAAAGTAGAGTACATTTTGTCTTTTCAAGTCAGTTTTGCATGCCTTGGCTTCAGGGCACTTGGATTACGATAGACGAGCCGTTCTGACGTTTTTGAAATGCATTAGCAGAGTTTTATTACATTTTCAAAATGATTTTGCACTTCAAGTGTATGGAAAAATCGGACTGGCTGTTATCCTCCGATACCCCAAACGAGTTTTGTGGATTAAATAACTACACTGGACTTCTTGTCGGCATGAGGGTCAGTAAGCACTGTCTGTATTTTAATTCTAAAGTGGCCATTTCCTTTAACATCATATTATCGTGAACATCTTATGGTGACGGCCCACCAGCAGATGGAGACATGAAACACTGTTCAGTGTCGGAATATTCATTCATTGTGATATATAATGACCTGCCCATATTCTCGTGCATCCCTAACAGAAACATAAAGATAAAACGTTCTGTAACTGATGTTTGTAGTTTGAACAGTATTTTACTGTAATATGTCCAGTAATGATACTGTAAATCAGTGGTTCCCAGTTGGCGGGTTGTGGTGCAAAAGTGGACCACAAGAAAAAAGACACTTTATTTTGAAGTACAGTGAATTTCCGACACAGAGCTTTTATTTTGAAGTGCTGTTTCCTGCTGAAGAGTGAGTGATGGAGACAGCTAACAGCTCGGAGCAGAAATGTGGACCCGTGACCAGAGGGACCCACGGCTGCACATGAAAACACTACAGTAACGTAGTGGCGTCCGGCGTCCAGTTAAAATTCACAGCAGCCTTTTCACAGTGTGTGACACAGCTGACACACACACACATGCACACTGTGGAAACAACAGTTAATCTATGAAACTCTTTTTAGAGTAAAGACTGAAAAGGTGGATGTCAGTGTGAACGTGGACGCCTTCTGACCTGCAAAGCATCAACTCAGTGCTCAGTGGACGTCCGACCTGATGTAGACGTCTTTATTGTTTGTGTTTCATTCACGCTGACTCTGTATCGCCTTTATATCACTGTTCTAATCCTCTTTACAGGCAGAACCCTCCTCTCCCTCCCTCCCTCCTTCCTTCCTTCCTTCCTTCCTCCCTCCCTTCCTTCCACCTTCCTCCCTCTCTCCGTCACTTTCCAGCTGACAGACAAGCAGAGCATCTCCTCAGCTAATCCCACCTCGCCGCCCCGCTCTCCTCCCGGCTGGGATTTCTGCGGACATCGATTAAATTAGCCGCGCTCACCCAGCCGTCTTAGCCTCACCTCCATCCCCTCTGTCGCACTCTCATATCCCACCTAGGCTTAACTGAAGCCGGGCTCAGGAGAAGCCAGGGAAGGGTCTGTGCTTGTCTCTGTGTCACAGCTTACCCCGGAGGGCTGCACTGCTGTGTGCAGATTTACTGGCTGTTATCTCGCTTCATGGTTCAGATATAGGAGTGAAAGCAGGCCGAGTTATTTCAGACGTCGCCTTCACTTTCTGAACAATAAGTTTCATAGCAGCGGGCTTCGCTCGGCGTCTCTGTGGATGAGAACCTTAGCTCAGAATAGACTCCCATTGTTTCCTGTGGTGATATGTGAATCCTCTGTCCTGTTTGCGCTCTCTCGGGATCCTGCATGAGCGTCCTCTGGCAGTTCACAGCACAAACACCCATCAACATGACGGCCCTGTTAGAAATGCAGCCCTCATCCATATGTATCTCCTGGCTGGACATGTGTCCTCTGTCCTCATGGCTGTCAGTCGCTTTGTGGCTCACCCCCGACCTGCTGCTTCAGGCCATCTTGTCCCAGTTTTTGAGGCCTGACTGAGTCACCGTCCTGTCTCAGTGTCCCTGGTCTTGTGTGACAGTGCACCGCAGAGAACAATGGCTGACATGCAGTATCTGAATTGCAAAATGCTTTGACATCAGTGCTGTGGGAAGTTTTCAGCAGGGTGTTTTTAAGATGGTGCTGTTGGATTTTAAAGATTCATTTCACCCAAATTACAGAATAGTGGTTTTCTGTGGTAACCAGTCATGTAGACCGACTGACCTGCTGAACGAAAGCTTCGGGTAGCTCAAGTTAAACTCTGTTCACCTGCAGGTGTTTGCTGCGGTTGAATCAGTCGCAGGATTGAATCCGCTTCATGTCGTATCACAGCTGCTGTTTCTACCTTCAGCAATCATTCTGTCTTCACAAGTGTTAACTGGCTCTGATGGGCCGTCATTTATCCGTCACTCCAGTCAGATTTCATTGTCTCACTGTTACTTTAAATAGCGTTCTGCAGCAGCGCCGCCTCTTCCATTGTTTAAAGGCAGCGCTGTTTGCTCTCCATCTCTAACAAACGTTATCTCACTGTGTGAACTCATCAGCTCACAGAGCGCGTCTTAGAGAGACCCCGACCTTCAGGGAAGTTATTCACTGATTTATTCACGTTAATAAGCATTTTGAGGCCTGCGACCTGAACGTTTTATACGCTTCACTTTATTAAAACAAAAAGACAGAGTGTAAAGATTTGACCAAATATTCGGTGGAAAAAAATGTTGTTAATGTGCGTTTCTGCAAACCACAGATACGTTACATTTCTACATTTCATATTATAACATTTCTGAAGTGACGTAGTATCTGAGCTGACTGGGGTTTGCTTTTTAGCAAGATCAAATCAAATCTGATCTTATTCCAACTGTAACCAAGCATTTCTTCTGCCTAAACATAACCACAGTGTTGAAACATATCTGTGGTTTGCAGAAATGCACAGTGCAGACATTTATTGTATTGATTTGTTGAATATTCGTTGGCCTCCGAGCACCGACCTGGAGTCAGATCTAAAACGGAGCTCAGTCTTTGTGACGGACGATTAGATCTTTAAAGTGTTTGCATGGCTGGATACCATCATGGTCGAGTAAGAGGATGTGTCTTTGTGTAATTTGGGTGACTAACCCTTTAAACTCCAGAGCAGTCTGTGCTGAGATGAGTTTCAGTTTTACCTTGAGATGAGTCTCTAGAGCTTCTCTCTGTTAGTTGCCTCCATAGAGCTTCTTCTCTTCCTGCCTGGTCTCCATTTCCGCCTGTCGCTTTTATTTCCCATGCCCAGCCTGACCTCTCTGGGGGGGGTGGGCTGCAGGGGAGGGTTGCTGAGCTGAAGAAGATCATTTCAACTCCGCACCCTTGATCTGATGCCCAATGCTTCCATGTTTCCAGGTGTCACATACGCTGCAAAGGGCTACTTCGACGCTCTGGTGCGGATGGGTGAGATGGCCAGCGAAAGTCAAGGCTCTAAGGATCTTGGTGAGTCCTCGTAGTGGCTGTAGCACCCCTGGTGGGGTGGAGGGGGGTTGCACAAGCAGATGGTGAATGGGATGGCTGGAGCTGTTGGAGCAGAAGCAGCTGATGACCAACCTGAAACCAAACACACACACACACACACACACACACACACACACACACACACACATATACACAGCCGATTCTGCGGTGCTTTAAAGACTTCAAACAGAGTCGTCTACTCAGAGCTGATCTGATGTTTCATCACCTCCACTTAAATCAAACACATTTTAATTTTAGAAGAATGAATTCTGCATATCTGCCACAGCGTGCTCGTTTGGTTAATCTCCTGTTTCCCTCATTCAGAGATTCATTTTTATTCAAATAAAGACTCTCCAGTTGTTTTTTTACTGCACCACTGTGAGCCAATCAAACATTCACAAACCCACCACATGGCGATTCGCTCTCCATTCATAACCAGACCTCAGAATATTCACAGCGTCTGAGTGGACGTGAGGAACAGACGTCCAGCTCGCTCAGCTCTCACGCAGCGTGTTGTCTGGTTTCGGTTGGATCAGCCCTGGTTCTGCTCAGTGTCTCTGTCATAGGCGAGAACTATCAGACGCACAGGTAGGAACATCTGTACGCAGTCAGACAGGCCTGTATGTCACAGCCATGTCAGAGACCCAGTCACATGTCGGGGAGTGTGACAAGTCTGCGTCAGCCCTGGATCACTGCGTCCTCTTCGTTCGTTCACCCCGACGTGACTTAAGACAGCAGGCGAGGACTGAAACAGCATCAGAGAGGAGGGAAGGAAGGAAGGAAGGAAAGGAGAGATGAGAGGATGGTAAACAGGGACAGCCAAGTGAGGAGGATATAAAAGCTGCATCCATTATTCATGGGGAGCTCTTTTTGGGTGCTCCCTGGCACTTCCTCTGGAGCCTCATCATTTCATTTGTCTCTCTGAGTCGATACTTGGCTCGGCCTGTGCGCCCACGCTGATTCTGGCTCATTCCCGTCCCTCCATTCATTCGTACGGCGAGCTCCGTCTAACCACTTTAAGATCACAGATGTATGAGAGGTTCATCTGAGCGTAAAACCTGCGGGTCATCGTAACCCTTTACAGATGGGTTGTTGTTTACGCGATCCTGTTTAAATCGATTTAAAATCAGAACTGTAACAGACAGAATATTTGTTCTTTTAGCAGCGGAAAGCTGAAGCTTCTGTCTTCCATGTCATCACATCATCACTTTATGTGACCTTATCATATGTGCCGTGCAAATGAAACACTTTGCTGTAATTACAGCGGTATGTCCCTGTAATGGCCGCAGGAGATCGCTGTTTGAATAGTTCTGTTTATACAGCGGTCTAAATTTTTAAAAAACACAATAGCTGAAACAGTCATTCTAGTTAAGGCTTCTGTCCTCCGTGTCGTCACGTAAAAAGATGTCATTACACTTTGCTACGTGTCGTGCAAACTACGCAAAAACAGAGAAACGAATAATGAATCCATCAAAGCACCTTTTCACTCTGCTCCTAAAAATGATCGTAGCTCAAAAACTAAATAATGAAATGAAAGTTCAAATAAGTTTTAGAGAATTAAGAAATATTTGGGAGGTTCTTTGGTCAGATTTTTGTATTTTTTTAAGACACAACTTCAATTTTAAATCAATTATCATAGTTTAGTGACCGACATATTTTTTTTAGCTCAGGTTGTATAGATTTTAAGGATATGAAGCATTTGAAGATACTTCAGGAAATGACATCACAAGAAGCAAAAGCAGGTACTGGTGGACCGTTTCTACTGCAGAGTTCAAAGGGTTAAATATTTAGTTATCAAAAACCACCTCGGATTAAAAGTGAAGGTCTTCGTACAGCGAGTAATTTCTCAGAAAAGAAGTGCAACATTTTTCTGCATCACTACACATTAAAAAAAATGCACATGAAAGTTTGAGTTGGTGTGCAGACGTGTCATCAGGATATCCCATCATCCATCTGTGCATCCCTGTGTCCATGATCTGTTGTGCATCTCACTCTGTCTCACTGTGCTGTTGCAGTTGTCTGTCTGCATGCGTGTTGCAGCTCCCTTTTGGATTTCTTTTTCTGTCAGCCGAACCATGACTCAGCAGAACCTCCCTCCGCCTCCGGTCAGATGACAGAGCAGGATGAGCAACATGGATTGATGGCGTCTCCACGTATCAGCGGGGCTCAGAGCAGCTGTGCTCTGTGCAGACCGCTCTGCATATTCCATCACTGGTGTGGAGCCGCGTGGCTTCAGAAAATCACGTTCAGAAAATGCTAATCACCTGGCAGGATGCAAAGAGAGGGGCAAACTGTGGGACTGTAAGAAGTCACGCTCAGAGAAGCTCCGCCAAGTGAATCCATGGGTGACACTGTTTCCACCAGATAGAGTGTTTGTTTGTGGGGAGGGTCATGTGACAGCGGGGAGCTCCGACACGTCCATATCCACCTCAGGAGCTCACTTCAGAGGTCTTTAGCAGGGAAGCCATTTTTCCCATTCTCGACACATGCACATGAATGCAACGTTTTAGCAGCAAATTACTGCACCCCGGTTTACACAGTCTGATTAAATATATAAAGGGAAATATATTTAAATACACAGAGAGTCTGCAGCTCCTTAAAAAGTCCTTAAAAGTAAAAATGGTCCTCCAGTGCCTACATTGGTATTTTTGTTAACTGTGATGTCATTTCTTGGAGTTTCTTCTAATGTTCATATGTGTGAAATCTGTACAACCTGAGCTAAAAGGTAAAAAAAAACATTTTGATCCAACAGATTTTTAACATAACCTAAATATTTCTTAATACTGAACTGTGTACATTATTTACTTTTTGGAATATGATCATTTTTATGAGCAGAGTGAAAAGGTGCTTTGATGCATTCATGATTCATTTCTCTGTTTTTGTGTGGTTTTGCACTGCACATAACGTAGCGTGATGACATCATCATGAGCGTGCAACGTGATGACACAATAGACAGGAGCCTCAGCTTCCTGCTGCACAAATAATAAATGTTCTGTCTTTTACAGTTCTTATTTTAGATCTGTTTAAACAGGACCGTGCAGACAACGACCTCCTGCAGCCGTCTGCAGAAAGTCTGCTTTTAAAGGGTTAATGTTATAAATATTCATTAAACAGAGTTAGATTTAGATTTGTGAGGTTGTAATTGCCACAAACATTTTTTTAATTTCATTTATCCATCTTTAAATTTCTTTTGTCAAAATGAGTCGAGCTCCTCACTGTGAACGCTCACATTTAGGGATCTTTAAACCACCTGAACCTCAAACTGTCTTTTTACTTTTTACATTGTTTTTACCTGCTTTTGATTCAGTGTCGATGAAACTGATTCATGATAACAGAACAAACAAGATGCATCAGTCAAAAAACAAAACCACAGATCAGTCTGATAAGTACACAAGAGAAACTAAAATAAGTTAACCATTAAAAAAACCAGGGCGATATTCAAAGTAAACAGTGACTGCTGCCATTTTCAGTTCATGTTATATCATATAATGAAGTGCGTGTGTGCGTGTGTAATCAGTCACCCGAGTTTTTACCTCACACTTGATGAACGAGGGCTGAAGGCACATTTGTAGAATCTTGCAACTTGTAATTGTGCATTTAATTTGAGTTTTGTTGAGGAGAAAGTGTGTGTGAGCGCGACGGTGCTGAATTAACTTCAAACTGCTGCGTCTGTGTGAGCGACCCCTCTCTGAGACAGTGTCATTAATCAGAGCATTAAGACCAACAGCAGCTAACAGCATTAGCACATGAGCAGAGGATGTGAAGTGCGTGTGACGGGCTGGAAGAAGGAGCAGAGAGCTGAAGAACATGGCGTTCTGCAGGGCGAAGAGGCGCTGGACTGTTTGATGTATTAACTCGCTTCATTAGCATCACTGGAAATATCCAGACTTCATGAATAACATCATGACGTGGACGAAAGTTTCAAAGCTGCTCAGAAGAAACTGAAACAGAGCGGTGTCACCTCTGTCACACAGCAGCTGACGGGGAGGCAGAGTCATGACCTTCTGAACATAGTGAACATATCTGAGGAGGAACATCAGGTGTTCCTGAGTGAAACGTACAAACAGGTACGTCAACCTGCAGCTGCCCTCAGGTGCAGCAGTGACTCTGGGGAGGGGCGTGGCTTAAGGTTTGGTTTGTTTTGAAGTTATTGAGTCAGATTCTTTTTCTGTGGCGACATCTTGTGGTGAGGACTGAAGATTACAACCAGCTGAAACTTCTCCTGGTCAGATTTCCTTCAGTGCTGATGGTTCAGGAGCTGAATTATCCACACAGGTCTCTTCCCTTTTAGAAACAAACACACCAGCTGATTTAAACAAGGAAGAACTCTGAATAAACAGGTTTTAAACAGCTGCTGTTATCAGTAAAGCAGGAGTTACTCCTCTGTGTCGCATCGACACCGCACCTGCGTCTTCAAACAACTTCACCAACAAACACGGCGTCCAACACGGAGCGAATTGTGTTGAAGTTAGAACAAATAAATGTTGAACAACAACTACAACGCAGAAAAAAAGAGAGAAGACGGAGGAGATTACGGTGTATGTTACAGCATCTGTTATGTTACGCTGTAGATGACAGTGTAGGTTATAATGAAGGTTACAATGTAGGTCACAGTGTAGGATACGGTGTATGTTATGGTGTATGTTACGCTGTAGATGGCAATGTAGGTTATGATTTAGGTTACGGTGTACATTAGAGTGTAGGTTACAGGGTAAATTATGTAGGTTACGGTGTAGGTTACTGTGTAGGTTACAGAGTATGTTATGGTGTAGGTTATGGTGTAGGTTACAGGGTATGTTATGGTGTAGATTACAGCAAAGATTACGGTGTAGGTTACGGTGTAGGTTTGAGGGTATGTTACATGTAGGTTATGGTGTAGATTTGAGGGTATGTTGCAGTGTAGATTACAGTGTAGGTTACGGTGTATGTTACGGTGTAGGTTACAGGGTATGTTATGGTGTAGGTCACGGTGTAGGTTACAG